CCCGCGGCTTAGCGCTTAAGTGCGCGTGCTCCGCTACTGGCTACTGGCAGCCTGGGTTCGGACCCCGGGCACGCACCGACACACCGCTTGTCCGGCCATGTTGAGGCTGCGTCCCACATACAGCAACTAGAAGGATGTGCAACTATGACATACAACTATCTACTGGGGCTTTGGGGAGAAAAAGGGAAAAAAAGGAGGAGGATTGGCAATAGATGTTAGCTCAGGGCCAGTCTTCCTCAGCAAAAAGAGGAGGATTGGCATGGATGTTAGCTCAGGGCTGATCTTCCTCACAAAAAAAAAAGAAAAAGAAAAAAAAGCAAATGCCAGAATTCTGTCAAAAAATAAAAAGACTGAGTCTGTGGAACTAGTAGAGTCTTCCAGGCAGAATAATAAAAGAATGATAGCATAACAAATTTAATAAATTAAGGATAATGATCAAAGCTGTGGAAAGCTTCAAATCCACTCCATTCTTATGTTTGAAAAGTTAAGAGCCAGGAGCTAAAGTTAAACTGCTTTGCTATGAAATTGCAAGAACTCTGTTTTTGTAACTTGTTATAAAGCATCTTGCATTTAGTGAAGATGATGTTGAGGAATCATCATGATTTTCTTGGTAGTAGAGCAGTGGTTCTGAATCAGAGGTGATTTGGATCCCCAGGGGACACTTGGCAATGTCTAGAGACATTCTGATTGTTACAACTGAAAAGGAGGGTGCTACTGGCATTCAGCAAGTAGAGAGCAGGGATGGTACTAAACATCCTACAATACACAGGACAGCCCCCTTACAATAAAGAATTATACCAAAATGTCAACAGCGCTAAGCTTATATGAGAAACCTTGCAAGAGAGAATTTCAACAAAATTCTACAAGGGCAATATTAGTGAAGAGTTTGAAATATAAACTTTTTTAAATTGAATTTTTACACTACAGTAAGCCTAACCAATATGTAGCAAGTGCCGTCAGCAATGACCCAGTTGGAATCACTTTAGGAGCGTGTTGTTGTTATGTGCTGGCATGTTGCTATGTGCTTCAAAATAATTTGTTCCATTCAGTAGGTTAAAAGTTGCCCCTGTAATCACGTGGAGGTTCATTTATTTACTTCTTGCAATCACAAACTAAACATCTACTATGTAGTAGGACTTAGGGATACAGAGAATAGAAATAATGATAACCACAAGAAAAAGAAAAAATAATCACAAAATCCACAGTCTCTGGCCTCTAGGAGTGGAGACAAGTGAACAGACAACTTAAAAGCCCATGGAGTAAGTACTAAGAAAGATACAGGCACAGGCATATTAACACAAGGGAGTGAGGGACAAAGGGAGAAGTTTCCTCAAAGAGGTGGTACCAAAACTGAGTCTGGTAGAAGGAGGAGTAGGTAAGTAAACTGGGGATTGGAATTTGGGTGGATGGAGCCACTGGATAAAGAGGCTGTGTATGTTTCTGAGTAATCTCTATGATAACACCAACAACGATAAAAACAATAAGTAACATTTGTGGAGCAAAAACTAGGAGCCAGACACTGTTCTAGGAGACTTGCTTATGTTAACACAGATAATCCTCACAGAAGCTCTATGAGGCAGGTACTATAATTAGTCTCATTCTACAGATGAGGCAGCTGAGGTATGGGGTGGTTCAAGTGACTTGCCCAAGGTCACATGGCTAGTGACTGGTAGCTGGGATTCAAAATTTACTTAATCTGACTCTGGTGCCTAAACTCTTAACTGCTACCTTATACTGCTTGAAGAGTCAGAAGGTATGACAACTGTCTTCACCAAGGGCTACTAGCTAAAAGACTTACTCAGAGTTAATCTAAGAGGCATAGTAGACCTACCAAGTGGAAATCATGTGCCTGGTAAACCATGCTTTTAGAATGAAGACCAAACTTCTAACAGTGGATTACCAGGCCCTGCCTGATCACGACCTCATACACAGATTTATCTCTATCCTAATCCCTCTTTAATCTCCCTCTTGGTACAGGCAGCCCTTTCTGGTGTTTTTGGAGCTGGATTATATCCGTTTGGTCTTCCCTCTCCCTTCCTGCAATCTTGAAGAGCAGGCTATCTATCCTCACCCAAGCCAGTTTTCAACACAAGAACATTAAGAGTTGAGGGCCGGCCCTGTGGCTTGGTGGTTAAGTGCGCGCGCTGCGATGCTGGCAGCCCGGGTTCGGATCCCGGGTGCGCATTGAGGCACCACTTCTCTGTCCATCCTGGGGCCGAGTCCCACATACAGCAACTAGAAGGGTGTGCAGCTATGACATACAACTATCTACTGGGGCTTTGGGGGCAAAAAAAAAAAAAAAAAAAAAAAGAACATTAAGAGTTGAGACTAGAGCCCTCCAACAATGCTCTGGAGGCCCTTCCTCACCAGCAAGGGACTGAACCATTGAAGAACACCCTTTGAACACAGTCCTTTCCCCAGTAAACACCCAGGCCACATTTTCACACACACTCTACCGAGATATCATGAGAAACTATCAGATGCCGTAGAGGATCCAGATAAACAGCACTGCTCTCACACACTCATCTACTGACATCAATAACAGAGGAAAGTTCTCTGTAGAATGAGAAATGTTGCAGAATCAACTAAGTTCCCTGACCCTGAAGATATCTGGTTTCTTCTACCTTTAAAAGACTGTAATTCTAAACTTCATAACTCATAAGAAGATGGCATAGTAGTCAAGAGCACAACCCTGGGTCTGTGACTTTGAGCAAGTCATTTAACCTCCTTAGGTTTAATAATAATAATAATAATAATGATGCCTCATCTCATTGGGTTGTATGAGGTAATGCAGGTAAATTACTTAGCAAAGTACCTGGCACACAGGGCACTCAATACATGTTTCCTTTTATTATTATTAGAATATAAAGAAAGAAAAGAGCAATTTTTGGAAAAAACTACAGACTGTGTTTGTAGATGCACAGAAAACAGTTGAAGGTCATACACCAAATTTTTATTGGAGTACCAAGGAAATCTCACATTTTACAACACCGTTTTCAAAATAAGTTACTGCTGGCCTGTATCTTTTGTAAGTTTTTAAATATAAGAATAATAAAAAATAAACATGGCTATTTTTCACTTTTACCTTCAAAAATTTCACTGCCAACAAACATCTCATTTTTGAGAAGGGGAATGGGAAAAACCAACCTCCCCAAACTGCCTGAGTCAATGGGCTAAGACACCATAATGAAGGAGCTATATTTAGTCAAGGGACTGGCTCCTGACCTTCACAATGAAAAATGGATTTTATCAAGGCAGGCAAGACTGCCCCAGCTTGTGTGCGGTCTGGGCGGTACACCTCTTTGAAAAGCAGGATTTTTTTCTGTACATTTGATTGGTCTGTGTCAAACCTTGCCTCATATCTAAGATTTTGTGGTTACCTCAAAAAAAAAAAAACCCCAATAACTAGATCACCAGAAAAGAAGCCTTGATCACTTCTTTACAAAGAGAGAGAAGAAAAAGAAAACAACAGATGCAATCCTATTTACTTTGTTTTAAAGAAATTTTTTAGCGTTCTGGAAATGAGCTTCAAGTATAAAGCTAGCGGACGGCTCGGAAGGCAGCTGCCTCAGGCCCCAGGCCTGTCCTACCCCAACTAATTTTAACTCGGCTGCCACCCTAATTCAGAGTCGGCTCAGAGCCCGTGCCCTCCACACACCAAGCCATTCTCAGAGTTTGTAATTCCTTAAGCAAGACCTAATGACAATCTGTGTGACCGTCTACTGAATCCCACAAATGAGGGTTCACTTCTGCATGGGGGCCACTACTCTGAACCACACTTAGAAACTGTGAATTTGCGCTCTCTCTCCTCTGTGCTATTTGGTCCTATAGCTTCTCATCAACTGCCATGTGCCCTTGGGCCAGAGTTCACGTCTGGTTGATCTCGGTGTGCTCTGAGCTTGGCACAGAGAAGTGACTCAATAAATAAGTGAAAGAACAGCCAAACCAACCTAAGAAATCACCCTATTTGCCCTTTCCCACACCTTCCAAGTTTAGATTTCTCCTCTTTCTCCCAGACCAGCTTGCTCTCTTTCTCCCAGAACAGCTTGCTCTTCTCCTCTATATTTGCTCTCAATGGCAAGTGAGTTTCTTTATAAAGTCTGAGGGTGGCTGTTTCTTAACAGATGCAAAGGTTCAGAAGGATCTAGAATATCACCACCCCATCCTGCAAAAGTGAGAGAAGCATTTCTTAAAGGGTGAACTACAAGAAAAGGTGGTTTCCAGCAGAGCAGGTGCATGTGTGTGTGTGGGAAATCATATATGACACGGGGCACTTCTTATTTTAAGACAATGTATTGAAAAGGCCTTTAATACACTGAAACCACAGACTAGGAAGTGAAGATAAAGTGACCACGCCTGACAACTTCTGGAAGAAAAAGCAAGAGGACCCTGTTCCTGGAGTCAGAGCAACCTTCACCCCACAATGGGAGATGTGCCACCTGGGAACACTCACCCTCTTGCTCCCAAGCTCAGCTTTCCTGTACAGTGTGGCTGGCACTAGGCGGAAAAACCGACAAAGCGCCTCACCTCTTAGATGCCCTTTTTACACTAACACCCCCAAAAGGTAGAGTCCCGATCCACACCCTGCTGCCCCAAGCCTCCCAGGGCGGCGCCCGCCCCAGCCAACCCTAGGATAAGGTTACACCACTTTCCTCTTTCTTCTTATTTTGAAAAACTGGAGCACTGTAAATAATCTCCCCCAGCAAGAGCCCAAGCAGAGCACAGAAAAAAAAAAGTTGTCATTTTTTCCTGCCCGAGGTTGGCAAAATTTCCCCATCCCTAGGGACCCCCTCATGTCTCAGGCGGGGGCGAGAAAAGGAAAAGGGTACCCCCAGATTGCTGGCCTCGCCCTGAGAACAAGTTTCCACTGGCTTGACCGCTTGTGGTTGCCAGGACAGGCGCCTGGCGTGGAGAGCGTTTCCGCATCCCGGGATCTTGCACCGGGAGCCCCCTCCAGGCTGCCCGCGATTAGTACCCGGGGGCGGGGGGATCCCACTTACCCTACAATGGAAATCATCATGGCAGCCACCACCAGGTAGTTGGTCTGATAATAGAGCAGGTTGCTCACCACGCGGTTGTTCCATTTGGAAATGTCCCTGAAGTCCGGCCGAGCGAAGCGGTCAGAGCCCGGGAAGAAATCGTCCCAGGCGCGGAGAGGGGCGATACTCACGTCCATGGCTCGTCTCGCAGCTTCTTGTTCTTCGCTTCTGGAATCTGGCGGCGGCGGCGGCAGCAACCGATCAGCTGAGCTGGGTTAGAGATGACAGCAGCTCGAGCTCTGTCCGCTCTGCGGTTGGCAGGCAGCGGAGCAAAGGAAATTGGGAGCGGGCGGGCGTTTTTTCTCTTCTTTACTTCTTGATTGGCTCTAAGTGGTTGGTTTCAGGAAAACGGGGGCGCCGCGACAGACCAAGGGGCAGAGTGCAAAACAGATGAAATGACAGAAAGAAACCAGCGGAAATCCTCTGTCTGAAGCGAGGTGGCAACGCCTTCTCTGGCAGTCCGAATACAAACAGCCTCCTTTAAAACACCCCTTTTGAGCGTTTAACCTAGGAATGTGTTCTGGACTTCAGGGAAATTTTTTTGCAGCCGTTCAAACGCTAGTCTAAGTGAAATGGAATGGAAGGCAACTATAGTGTTACTGGAGGATGAGCTGGTTTTGAAAACTAAGTAGTTAATCTCTGCACATCTGAAAGCAATTCTCATGTTTTCTCTGCTTCACCATGAGTCACTGCGAGTGAAATGACATTGGCAAAATAGGAAGGAAGGACGGGTATACGAACGGAAGGGCTGGTTTGTTCTTTCACTTCTCTTCCTGTTCTCCATCTCTATTCTCCCCAGGGTAAAATTATTGAACTACTGTGGGATTCTGATAAAGTGGGCACTTTAGTTACTTCAGCCCTGGGCTGGGATGTTGTTTACATTTGAAAGCAAACGATGGTCTGCAGTGAACTGATTGTTCTGCCTCCAGTATCTTTTGGGCAGAAACATGGATTCTACTCCTAAAGAGCTTTCTTAGTTTTATCCTAATGCTTGGGGACAACTTTCACTAAGGCAGCACAGTATTTTAACAGGTAATGTGCTAGTTTTGTATCCCAGCCCAAAGAACTGCCAAGAGATGTATTCGTTGTAAATTCTCTTCTAAGGGTTCCAAAGGATCATCTTTTTTCAGTTAATGGGCTGGTTGGTACAGTAAACCTCCTTGTATCTCAAATGCAAGAGAAAAAAGTATTTTGATTCCTTGCATAGTGTGGTAGGTAGAATTCTAAGATGCTAGTGTCTAAGATAACAGAGTCTCTAACCCTGCAAGTGGTGCTGTTTTTAAAAAACTGGATTTACTCTCCTTACACCAATTTTCAAAATTTGGAAAGCAATAAAATATACCTAATGCTAAGTCTAGAATATATAATTTGGTTTTCTTGATGATTCAGAAGGCAGTTCAGGAACTTTGACTCTAAGGAATTACTCATGCCACTGGTATTCAGGAAAGTTTGGTGATTGAATTGAATCAGTGCTAAGATATAGCCTAGATGATGCTTTTTGAATAAAGTTTAAAATGTGAAAATGTTCCTAAGCTCTCACATTTTCTTGATTCTGGAAAAATGGGAAGGTTCAAACTCAAAGGAAGCAAAATTAGAGTCCTAGCTCCTTGATTTCTGGCAGGGAACTGTGGGTAATTACTTAATCTCCTCAAGCCTCAGTTTTTTCATGTGTAAAGTGGGTATAATAAGAACATTTGCCACATAGGTGAAGATAAATAAAAGAGTGGATGGGAAGTGCTTAGTATATAGTAATTGTTCACAGTTAGATACTATTGTTATTGTTATTAATAATAGGACAGGCCATGATTCATCTATATGGCACTCATAGTGCTTTAACCTGATTTGTTTTCTATGCTTTTATAATGAACATGCACTGACTTTTCTCTATCTTCTTGCAATGTTATTTTTGTGGTTGTATCTGGATAGACTTGATAGGGAAAAAAAGGTTGAAAAGTTTCAGAATGACGCCAACAGATATTTTGAGTCTTTTCAAGGCTCTATGAAAGCATTGTGGGAGATAAAAAAGGTGAGAAGAATGCAGCCTTGGCCTGCCGTCAAGGATCTTGCAATGCAGTGGAAATACTACTTAAATATAAGACAGTGAGAGGAGTGCTGAATAGAGATGTGCCAAGCCTCGGTGCTCAATTACAGGAAGTCAGGGGGTGTAGAAGAATTCCCTGGGGCTTAAGAATTTCAAGAAGCAGCACTGTGGGCAAGCTGAGTAAATGATGTTGGGCAAGACCAGCAAGACCAGCGTAGGAGCCCCACTAGGCCCCCACACCTGTTGGAGAGATTAGTGAGCATTAGGAGCTGTGACCAAGAACTTTTACCTTCCAGTTGCTCAGTACTGCATGACGGTAAGTTGTCAAGTGCGTGTTACTAACAATATGATTACTCATTGATCATAGGCAACTGATAAACAGTAAACATTTGTTCAGTGTATTTTTACTTATTTGTTTAAACTCCAAAGAGCTTTAAAAATAAAGAAATGAAAAAAGCCATATATAGCTGTATATAGCATGATCCTCTTCTCCCTCTCTCCCAAAATATTAACCATGCATCTCTCTCTGGTTAGATTATGGGAGCCTTTTTTTTTCACTACACATTTCTACCTTTGTCACAAAATCATTTTAAATAAAAATGAACACATATGGAATCCTTACTTTATTTCAGGCACCATTTGAAATACTATTAATAGTAGCTCTTTGTCACTATTCATGGGGGAAAGGTAGGGGGAGATTCAATGCAGAGGCCTTCCTGAGGCTCTTATATCCAGACCTGTGCTTCTAAATAGGTCTACCCTGAATATTTATCTGTTTGTATATAAACCATAGTGGATAGTCTAATAGTTTATGATATATTCCATTTGAAATTAAATAAACCTGTTGCAGGTTTCTCTTGCATGTCTCTGTTAACTTTCATTACTGGCAAGGGCAGGTGGCTATTTCTAATCGGTCAGTCTGAGCCAGTGGGAGTGCCTGGTGTCATCTACCAACATACCACCACAGTGAGTCAGGGTGTTAGTCCCAAGGCACGCAGATGAAGGGCCAGATGCCTTTGCAGACCTCTTTGTGGCCAGCCGAAGCCTATCCCTGGGCCTCAGTTTCCTCCCTGTGAAATGGGTAGGTTTGGACTAGGTGATCTCCAAGTTGCCTGTTGGTTTTTACCCTCTGAGGTGGCTGAGATGCTCACTGCCAATAATCAAAAGGTCTCCTGAAGGTAGCATTGCTGGGGGCTTAGGCCACATGAGCCTGTTTTGAAAAGCAAGGGTTTAACCTCAGTGGTTTCCATCTGTGGAGTAGTCTGGGCAAGAAAAAGAGGTTCTGGGTTGATGTTGAGACGTGTGACCCAGGGAAAGAGGCTGGTGTCTCTTGCTACGGACTGTGGACTGTGAACTCTATCCCCCATTTACTGCCTGGCACTGATTTTCAGCTCAATGAATGCCACTGAAATGAACCTAATTGGGAGATAATAAAGGACAAAAAGAAGATTAAATATCATAATTTATTAACAGCAGCTACATGTAGTGAGTACTCATCAGGCTTTATGTACTCCATTTCATTGGTTCTTAAGTTTTATCTTGCACAGAATCATCCAGCACTTTGCAGAAGATTAGGAGTGGGGCCTGAAAATTTGCCTTTGTAACAAGTTCCCAAAGGATGCTAAGGTAGCTAGCTGATCAGGGACTATATTTTGAGAACCACTGTGGATTTCATTTAATTGTCAAACAGTTTTACAAGGCGAATATTATTATCCTCAGTTTACAAATGAAGACACAGAAGTGTGCAAGGTCTCATAGTTAATAAGTGGAAAGTTAAGGATTTAAACTTTCTTTCTGACTCTAAATATCATTCTTGTCCCACTCCAAGAAGGATATATGTATATATTTTGAACATGATTATTTTTCTGTATCCAGCCATCCAGACACACACACACATCCATCTATCTATCTATCTATCTATCTATCTATCTATCTATCTATCTATCTGTCTATTTCTGACTCTGGAAGAAAATAGTCCAAAATAGTATCACCATTTATCGTTAGGTGATGAGATTATGGGTTTCTAAGTTATTTTTTAACTTTTGTGCTTTTTTTCTTTATACTTTTCTTCTATGTAAATATATATTTCTTCCCAGAAAAAAATGTTTTTTAATTTTTTTCCATTTCCACTTAATTTCTTATCTGACACTAAAATATTAATACTGATGATCACAAAGAAAGAAAATAATAATTTCTCCAACCCACCCTTATAAACTGATTTAGGTAAATTTTATTCTTCAAGTGCGTACCTTTATGCAAAGATGTTGGAACCCTCCTGAAAAGTTTAAGGTGAAAATTCCTCCATGCTTTGCCTCAGAGGGAAGCTCTGGCATATTATGGTAGTTCTTCCGAGTTTTTTTCATAGAATATATCATTTTAAATAATTATTTATTAACACATAAATTGTATAAACATATAATGTATTATGTCTATATTTTAACTTAGCTTAACATTACACACTGAACAAAATTTAATTAAGTGTAGTTAATCAAGATTATAATTACCACACACGGAAAGACCTTAAGGCCTACGAAAGTCTCAGAGCAGCCAGCCCCGCCGCCCCGCCCCTCCCCGCCTGGCCCGGCCCGCCCCTCTCCCCGCCGACGCCACGCCC